AGCCCCCCCCCGGGCCCCCCCGCTGCCGCGGCTGCCTGTGGGAGCTCCCCGCTCATCACCACCACAGCCCCACCACTGACACCGCCTGAGGGAGCTTGCCATGCCCCCCCCAGCCTCGGGAGGCACGCAACGTTCATGGTGGGGGGCAGTTGCACTAAATGCAACTGTCCTCTATTCTTGAGGTACCTCAATGGCCACCCTAGATGTAGGCTAGTAATGAAATGAGAGGGGGAAAGGAAATGGGGGGGGGGGGAGCTTAGAATGAAGTCTTACTCTTGTATATTGGGGGAGAAGGGTGGTAAAAAAAGGAAGTCTGCCACTGAAGGATAAAATAAAAAGTAAAAAAAGAAAATTTAAAAAGAAATAAAGGCAGTAAATTAAAGAAGGCCTCATGTTTTAGTATACTGGGATTGGGGTGTGGGAGTGCTGGTCGTGCTTCCCAGGATGGCTAGGAGGTGGGAGCAGTGAGGCTAGGAGGAGGGAGCAGTGCTTTTTGGGGAGCTACAGCCCCTGTCCTGGGAAGGAAGCCCTGGCTCACAGGGACCTATTAAGCCCCCTATCTTTCCTCCACCAACTCCGCTAGACCCCACTCCTGGACCTGTCCATGCCTTGTGACCTGGCTAGCTGTCATGCTGTTTGCATGGGGTTGCACCACTGGGAGTGAGGAGATCACATCCCCAAGGGTAGGGGACGGAATTGGTTTGGTGCCAAAACTGCCCCCTGGACAACAGAGTTCAAGGAGTGGAACATTTGTCTACGCAGCACAGGAGGGTGGGGGTGGGTACACTGCATCCTGGGATGTTGGGAGACAGCAACTTGGGCTGCTCATCTGTGAGAAGGGGCCACACATTAATGGAACATGAGCTGCGTAACACGGATTGGAGAGAAACTTGCCTTGGAGTAGCATAACTTCAAGCCCCATTATGAGTGCTTAAAACTAGTTTCAGGTGTTAATGTCCAAATAATCCAGGGGTTAAGAGCTCCAGGAGCCACCTAAGATAAATGTGCAACCAGGCCCTCAGAGCACTGTATTCCAAGCAGGACTGAAAAATTGGTAATAGTCTATGGGCTACCAGTAGGAACCCAAGTTGAGTATGAGGTGAGGTCAGGAACTTTGAAAAGATTAGTTTTGTTTAAATAGGATAAGGCCAAGATTTTGTTGGGGTCCCAAAGTGGAAGTTAACAGCGCTTCAGAGAGAGGAGACAAGATCTGGAAAGGTTGCCAAAGGAAAAAAAAAGGCAGAACTTGGGCTGAAAACATTTGTGGATCTGCTCTCCTTAGGAGCAGCCACTTCAGTTCTGTGCGACTTGGGTTTACCTCTCCTGGGTTTTTGCTTGTGGAAGTAGGAATCCTTTGAATTGATGAAATCCCTGAGAAAGGGAGTAAGAGACAAAGTTCAGCCCCAAATTCTCAAGAACAAAGAACTGGAAGAGCCCAGACCCCTACCTAACCCTGGGTAATGTTTTTACACTTGTGAAGAACTAAGAAAGGGACCAAAAATAAAAATTCTTATCCACGGTTCAAAGAGAGTCTGTGGTTAGGCATCTAAATAAGTGCTGGTATTTTCAAAAACACTGAAAACCCCACAACAACCATTACCTTAGGGCAGAGTCATCCAACTTCTAAGTGGCTGGGGGCAGCTCACCCCTCAGGCCACACTAGCAGGGGCCACACCCCCATTGCATCCCCTACCCCCACTGCATCATGTGCACAGGTGTCCTCCCTCTGCCCCCACTGCACCAACACCCCTCCACCATGCATGCAGGGTGCCAGCCTGCTCCACCATGCACCCAGGTGTCCTGACTTACCCTTAGCTCCCTGGCCACAAGTTCCCTGGCTACACTGTACCACTCAGGCACCCTAGACTGCAGGCTCCCCTGGCACTAAAGGCTTTGTCATGCTTCACTATCCTACACCCCTGGGACAAGGCCAGAGGCAAGAAGGGGGATGGGGAATCTGGAACCCCTGGCTTCTGCTGCAGCTGGAGCATTGAGGGGAGCAGTGGCTGGGTGGGAACCCAGAAACCAAATTTTAACTCCTCACAGGCTACGATTTGGACATCCTGCCTTAAAGTGTAGTTCTCCTCTGAAAAGCGACTCTAAAAATTGAATTATGTATGCTCTCTTCCTCAGTGATGATTAAACTAAATCCTCTTAGTGTTCATGCAAAAATAGTTCTTTCCTAATTGTCCATCCTATGAACTAGAACCTGGAACATTTAGCCCAGCTGGTTAGAGCATTATGCTCATGACACCAAGGTCACGGGTTTGATTCCCTAGGTGGAGTAGATCAGTGGTTTTCAAATCTTTTGCAGACTTCTAAAAAATTTTGACTGGAGATGTGGACCCCTATAGAAATTTTGAATGGAGATGTGGACCACTTTGAATTGTAAGTGTAGGTATTCACATACTTTTGCTTGATCATGGTCATCTTTCACAGACCCCTTAAACATAGTCTGTGGGCCCCCAGGGGTCTGCGGACCACAGATTGAAAACCACTGAACTAGATGATCTCATGAGGTCTCTTCCAATCTTACTTCTCTATGATAACTATGAATCTCAACAATAGTAACATCCATAACAGAAAAGCAAATACACATATCTCTGCAGATGATTCTACTTTGCTTTGTAGATTTTTACTTCAAGTTTTAAATTTGGTATCAAAGTGTAGATGACAGAACAGATGCAGGAACCTGAAGAAATGACTAGACTCAAGAGCTGGTTATATAGATGTAATGTTGGCCAGTCCCATCCATCCTTATGACATCACAGAATTCTAGAGCTGTTACCACCAATCAGAGCTCTACAGCTGACTGGAGAAACCTTTCATAGGTGAGGTATTGCCTAAGTTAGTAGAGCTGAGTTTTAATGAGCTTTCTGGCTGTAGTTTATAACATATATTGTGTGAAATCCTGGCTGTTATCAAAGTCAAAGGCAAAACTTCCATTAGCTTCTGTAAAGCCAGATTTAATCCATTGTTTGTGGGTGCAATTTGCTTTTGGCCTTTTCCATTTCTGGAATGTTTATTTTCTTGTCATTTTAATCTTCAGCAGTTTTTCCCTACCCAAACAAGAGAGGGAAATTGTGCAAATATCCTCAACATTTTAAAGAGATCCTAAATAATAACTACAAGGTCATAAAATACCCTACGATCATAAGCCAATATGCGCAGTTTGAAAAATAACAACAGTAAAATAGCAGACCAGTGTGCCCAACTTGAACAACCCGTGAAGTCCTTATGATGACAAATCAGAATATTCTCAGCTCTCACAACAAACTGTATAACAACTAACCAGTGTGTGCAAGCTCCATGTTTATAAGAAATCCTGCAAAATACACATACACATAAACATAGTATAAGCAGCACAACATTCCTGAAAAGCCTTGACTCATGCAACCTCTACAGTAACAAATTAGAAGATACTGTGCCAGGACTACAGCAGCAGAAATAGAGTCTCTGATGTCACACACAGTTTGTGATGTCACCAGATACCTATTATGAACCCAGGTGCAGAAGTGGCCCTGCTCAGAGTGTCCCTGCCCTCTCTTCCTGACAGACTTCAGGCAAAAGCAGGGGCAAGAGAAAGGACAAATTGCAGCTAGGCAGAGAACTACAGAATTTCTCGTGTGTTGCATAAATGCAAACAACATCAGGAAGATGAGATGTTAGCAATGCAGGTCTTCCTCGTTGTTTCCGGTGAGTACAGATTTTGCTGCCTCACCCTCTTTCCCAAAAATAACGTATGATATGGGACAGGAAAATGCCCCCTTCCCTCCATCCTTACTCATTGCAAGCCAAAAGCCTGAGGCACTTAAATGAGAAGGAGAAAACTGGATTACTTACCAATTATTTGAACTCTCTCTGTTTCAAACTGGATATACAGAGCACCAACTCATTAGATACCTTTCCTCCCAATGGCTTAACCTGCCCACTTGTTGACATGTAACCCTAACTACAGCAACTTTTGTATCTTGGCTTTTTTCAGTTTGCTACTAAAAAGGCTAAAGTCAGACAGCCGAAAGAGACTAATCAGTAGTGGAAAAACTGCAGGTTGCTGGGTTAGAGCTTACTCTGGATTAGAGAGAGGCTAAGAGTGCCATCTATTGTCAAGGTTGCCAGAAAATTCTGTTTCTGATTGCTTCTAATTTTGACAAACTTAAATAACTTGGATAACATTTTATAGGCCAGATACTTGCCTGAGGTGGACTTTTTAAAAATTTCAACCAAAACTCTTCATCCATTTCCAAGAATGAGCCTGGATAAAAATATATAGCCCATGCCAAACATTTCCAGTGTCCCATGCTTTGGAACAAGTACTTGAAATTTCATAGGGCTTTTTATGAGGGCATTATTTTTTACCTACAAAATCCATCCAAATTAGGCCAAGCTATTAGGGTGACCACCCAACCCTGAGTGGGACAGTCCCAAAATGTAAACATTAAGTCCTTGTCCTGGGCTCAGTGACTCCAGGACAGCATTTGTTCTGGATTCTTCTTGACACAGGTCCTATGTGTCACCTCCCAGCTTTTAGGGTTCTGTCCCCCTGGCTGCACATGTCATTCAGAGATGTCACAAGGTCCATCAGACCCCAGCATGCTCCAGAAGGATGAACCCACCCTTACAACGTCCCCCCCTGGGGAAAGCAGCACCCCCGCTCCTATCGTGTGTTCATGTGCAGGGCTGGGGGAGCAGGCTGGCTGGCTCTCCTTGCTAGCCACCCGCCCCCTGCCGGTGCCCTACATCACCCCCTGCCCCATGCTCACTTCTCGTTGTTCCTTAAGGTGGTGCCAGTGGTACAATACCCCCTCCCCTGATTTTTTTAAATGTATGCATCCCCCTTTTGCATTTTGAAAAGGTGGTCACCCTACAAGCTATGCATCTTTTCAGAGGAGATAAATACTGTTCACTCATGCTTAGCAGAGGCTTCAATATTAGCAGCCAAATCTCCAAGGATTCTATCCTTGAGCATGTTCACATTTCTTCCAGTCCCTACATGCTAACCAGACAATGCATGTGCCATCTTTACAGAGTGACTGAGCACAGTCCCTCCAGCCTGGGCCTTATGGGGAAAACTGGATACTGACTGTAATGGCTACTCCCAATCATTAAAACCCAGGCAGACTCTCTCTTCTCTTCTGTTAATAATCCCTTGATACATGGAGAAAGAAACAATCTAATTTAAATGCAGAGGGGTCAGGAAAGAAAAGCAACAGGTTAAAGTAAGGAGTCTGGGGAGAATGGGAATGGGGACAAGGAGATGGAAACTAGGTTTAGAGCTGGGAGAGGGAAGTGGAATTGGTTTGGCAAGAAGACTGCAAGCTGGGAGTGGGAGACTGGGAGCAGGGCCTGAGAAGCAGTTGCCTGGTGGCAGTAACAGAGAGATAAGATGAGGAGCAAGGATAAAGGGAAGACTGGAATGGGCACACATGGCAATTGGTATGAGGGAGTGGGAGGGAAGGGAAGCAAGGGAAGAGAAAGGAATCTGACCAGGAGTTCAGGTCTGGGAGAAAACTGGGACTAGCTTGGCAGATCAATTGGGATAAGGAGCAAGGGAGGGAGAAATGGAAGATCTGGAGATTGAATGAGGAGCCAAGATGGAGGAACTGGTACTGACTGGATTCAGAATAGGAACAAGGATAGGGACTTGTTGTGACAGAGAGCTTCAAGAAGTTCAGAGAAGGTTTCACACTCCCACATGCAGCCCTTCAACTCTCTCCAGTGTCCATCATCTGCAGCATCTCATTTCCTCCCTTCTCGTTTGTTTTTTCATTTGTTCATTTTTGCAGTATTCTTAAACTGGTGTTCCTCTGCCAACTCTCAGAATAAGGACCCACCGAGAACAGGGACACCACTTTCAAAAGAGGAGTATGTCCTGTTCTTCAAACCCCTTAATCCACCTCGCCGAGCCAGTGCCATCTGTCTCATGCGGGCTTTGTATGGTTGCCAGAATCCCTTAATCAAACAACTGGATGAGTATGAAAACCACGGAGTCATTCCTCAAGGTAAAGCTGACCATGGCATCCAAAAATAGGACTGGGGTCTGAACCATATGAAAGCATGACTGATCGATAAGAGACGGAGAAAAACCCTCTTGTGCACGGGCTGAGGAGGAAGCCATCTGCTGATGAGGTTTAAACCTTGAGGATCACATTTTTTTTCTCTCTCCTCCCAATCCTCTCCCCAGAAAACAACCACTTGTGCAAAAGAATGGGATGTTTTAGGATTTTTCTGTTGTTATTTTGCTTTACTGTTGTTATTGTTTAACTTTGGGATTTTGTATGTACATGTTGCAATATTGTCATATTTGAGAAGGCATGGTCAAAGAAGTGAAAGATATACACTAAAACATAAAAACACTTATCAACAGAAAAATGCTCTGTTTACATACAACTCTTCCTTGGGAAGAGGACGAGAGAATAATCTACCTTTGGAAGATGTTAGCAATGTTGTTTAAATGGCTTCAGACAATGAGCATGATATAATAATATAGGTGTGATCAGTGGTGGCCTTAGGGTTGTTGGGGCCCTGGGCAAGAGAGTCATTTGGTCTCTCTTAGAGGCTTAATTTTGATGACCTATAAGCAAGTTGGACATTTTCGATTTCAATTTCACTTTGCCTTATCCATGAAACTGCAATAAAAGTATCTTAATATTCTTTTAGGGGAATTAGAAAAATAGTTTAGTGTTAAAATGCAAATAGAGTCACTTCCTTGAAAAAACTTCACCCTCCAAAAAACCTTGGGCCCCCTAAAGTGTGGGGCCCCAGGCAGTTGACCGGTTTACCCTCCCCTGAGGCTGCTACTGGGTGTGACAGAAAAGAAGTAGAATGGCTACAGGACCGTAATGAGGGATGTAGAAATGATCGGTCAGTGCT